CAATGGGCTCTCCCATTACTGGAATCTGAAGCACAGATTCCTGTCCAGTGCCTCGGTAAAATCGCTCACCAATGCAGACTTAGAACTCGGGTGCTCCCAGTGCCCAGATTCAAATTACTAGACTTGTCTCCTTCTGAAACCAGCAAATCCCCAGACATCTCCAGCACTCCCTGAGGTTATATAAGGCAGGACACAGAGGTCAGATGAGTGTGTTCTCTTCACACATCTTTTCCTCTGGGAAGTTCTTTCTTTGGTTAGTAATGGTAGATCAGGACTTCACAAAGCAGAAGATGTGTTGCTTTTTATCTGGGGAGAGTTTTCTGCTAAGTTTTCATCCTATGAATGTTGTCAAAGAATTTTAAGATGAGAAGGAGAGTCATCTCTCCCCCTCAACATCTTTTTTTTTTATGATCATATGTCATCACAATTATCTCTGAAGCCTATTCCATAAGATCAAAATTTTTCAGTTTTGAGCCTGGGTGCTGACACTGACACTAATACTGGTATAATGAAAAACTGGGTTTTATATGCACATATTCCATGTGGATATCATGCTCTATACTCATATTTTGTTCAAAATGAAAACTAATAATATGTAGAGCCTGGTAAAAACTTGTTCAAAACTAATACTTGATGATTTATTTTTGTCTCACTTGACATTAAAAGTATCATTTTGTATGTCTTTATGATGTTAAAGTTGGCAAAAGTATATATTTGTAGTATGTAATTTGCTAAGGCCATTATTTTTTTTAAACGAGGAATTTCTTAAACTTATTCTTGGATAGCTGAATCTTTGGATCCTTTGACTAGCTTGCCAATTCCCCCTACTCCTCCAATCCCTGTTAACCATGACTGCATTCTCTGCTCCTAAGTGTGTCTTTTTAGACTGCACAAAGGAGATTATGTCATTAAGTATGTCATGAAGTCACATGACATACTGCCATGCAAGTATGTACGTATATATGTATTATAATGGGTGCATGTCATATTCATGTGCTTCCTCTATATGTGCATGTCATATACATTTTATATACATATGTAAAATATATATACAGTCATGTATTCACATATACACCCTCATGGTCATTTTGTTTGATTAACCTGAAATGGCTTAGAATTTTATGTGTGCTAAATAATTTCTGGTTTGGCAAGTGGCTACCTACATAAGGGTAACATGACTTAAAACCAAAATTAGGATAGGAATTTCTGGTAAAATACCAGTGACAGTAAAAAGGCTTAAGTGTACTTTCTGTGTCCTAAGAGACTCCACCATGTAGTTTACAGGGTGTCTGACCCATGCATACTTTCAAAACTTTGCATCCAGAGGGCATGTTAGATCCATAGTATCTGTAGCACATTTGCTGCACATAGTACTCTCTGTACTATGATTTGATTGCCTGGTCACATGTTCTGTATCCAATTAAAGATTAAACTATATTCTTCAGAAGATACCTTGTTTCCATATGTTTTATAGGATTTTTGTTGTTCCTAGGCAGGAATGGAGATACTATTTGATGATGGGTTTACAGAAAAGCTAAATAAGAATCCTTTGAACAATGAACTAATAGTTTAACCAAATGAATGCCACTAAATTGGAACATGTGTTTTGGGGGGATTGGAGTGAGATCTAGGGGATACGGGCAGATGAATGGAGAGAAAGGAAGGGTGGGTGAATGCAGTCATAATATTCAATGTGCATATATGAAAATAGAATGGAGTAAGTTCATGGGGATGGGTGGGTTGGGAGAGATGGGGAGAAAGAAGAAAGAGGTGACAGTGATTAAGATGCACTGTACTTACAGACCTGTTGAATTGAGATTGCTTTGTACACCTACTCAAGGACAATTAAAACAGCTTTTAAAAACCTGGAAAAAAAGACATACTAAAGCAAACTTCAGATGTGCTCTTTTCTACACAGACTCTATATGATAAAAACAAAACAGAAAAATCCAGAATTTACAACAGCCACCCACCAGTTGACAGCATGGGAAGCTGGCAACCAGGCCCCACCTAGTTGGTCCTCAGTGGTAAAACTGACACCACTGTAGAATGTTTGGCTTCTCCTGGGCCAGATTTGGAGGAGCAGCTGTTGCCCTGTTCGGATAAAGTGACACACTGTAAGAGAAACAGAGTCCTAATTGGATAAGGATTAATTCCTCTCTCCATCTAGCCCTTTCAAAAACACTACTAGAAAAGTCCAAAATGTAGTGCTCAAAAGATCAATTTGTTTTGGAATATAGTGATTATATTTTAAGATGCAATTTTCTCCTACGTCAAAAATGCCCTGAAAAAACACTTTCAAAAACTGTAGCAATAGCAGTTAATCAACATCTCTATATCTAAGTATTTCTTGAATGAAATTACACAGAAGTACATTAGAGAAAGTCTCAAAGTTTTAGTGTAATAAAGATTAATATCTGAACAGCAGACATAGGTAACCAATATTTTTATTTTGAGTAATATTTATAGGTAACAATATATTTTAAGTACAACAAATAAAGCAATCCAAGAATCATGATACCTGTACACAAAGTATTACAATTCAAATGAAGTATATTTAAGTCTAATTTATATAAAAGTAAACTAGGAAACACAAGAAGTTAAATCTGCAGCCTGAGTTATACAGCTTTTTTATACTTATAAAAATTAATTGAAGTCAAATGCAACTCAAAAAACTTACAAAGCAATTAGACATTACTACTGAAAGATATAATCACTCAAGATAAAATATAAGAAAAATACATTATTAAAATCTAAGAATAAAATTTAAATACATTACTAAGATTACACCATCATTTAAGAATTCAAAACTGTCAGTTCACCATGAAGTCACTGATTATTTTTGTCATGTCTTGTGTAACCTTCACACTTCATGGAATGTGTGTGGCCCTAGGAGACACTGGGAAACAAAACAAGTCACAAAGCCTGCCTGCAGGGAGCTTCCATTCTAGCTTCTCTCACCCTGAGTCTAAGGTAGCCAGGCACACAGACTCTTACAACACAGCATGAGAAACTCTGGGTAGCTTCCATCCTCACAGGAAGCACCATCTCAGCTGAAATTTTCAGGCAAGGAAGGGAGCTAATCATAGAGGAGATGCAGGAGAAGGAGGAAGAGAAAGAAAGACACGCAGAGATGCCTATGCGCAGGAGAACAGTTTCTATAATCAGTGGTTCCTATACAAATGTTTGCAGATATTTAATGAGCCACCGTGAAATTTCACCTTTTTTTGCAGGGGGGGGGTGGCTGTCATGGGGCTTGAACTCTGAGCCTGGGCGCTGTCCATCAGTGCTTTAGCTCAAAGCTAGAACTCTACCACTTGAGCAGCAGCGCCACTTTTCGGTTTTCTGGTGGTTAATTGGAGATAAGAGCCTCACAGACTCTCCTGCCCCGGCTGGCTTTGAACATCAATCCTCAGACCTCAGCCTCCTGAGTAGCTAGGATTACAGGTGTGAGCCACAGGCGCCTGGCCGACATTTTACCTATTAATGGGAAAATGAGGACATTGTGTTCAGTCTTTTCAAAGCTAAAGTCATCCAATTCTAAATAACTGGTAGTTTTATTTTTAGCATTCCATTAAATGACCCTTTTTTATGAGATGAGCGTGATGGTAGAAGTGATGTTTTGTTTTAAAGAAAATACTTGAACCTATTTTAAAAACTAAGGTCTGAGAATCACTGTTGAAAGAATAAACTTCTAGAAAACATAATACGGTTAAAGAGGAGAGAACAAAAGGGTACATTAAGATAATGCTTAGAATAAAGAGAAGGATTTCACATCAAGAAGGGCTATGTATAAGCACTTTGGACTTTAGCCTATGAGCAATGAGAATGCATTTTCACAAGGGGGTAAAACTACTTCTGTCTGTGAGAAATCAGAGTGGATGTGTGTATGCTACGTGTGTGCGGCCCGGCAAGCAAAAAGGGAGGCAAGCCAGATAAGTAGCACTGTTTTACCAGAGGAAAAAAGAGACCAGAGCCAGGCTTATGGCTACATTGGTGGAAAAAGATGGCTTCAAGAGACAAACAATAGGATGTGGTGAGTGTGTGTGTGTATGTGTGTTTCTAATGGAGAAAGAAATGGGGTGGTCAAAGTTGATGTTCAGTGTTTTTCCCTTGGAAACTGACTTGAGCATTGTGATAACTGCTGAAGTAATGCAAGAGACTTTCTGTGCAGAATGGCGATAGATTTATCTGAGGATATGTGGAATTTTAGATCTTTGTGTTCCAAGAGTCTTATTAGTGCATTGTCTACATAAGTCTCAAGCACAGGAGAGAAAGAATTGAGGTTTGGATATAAATTTTGCAGCTATAAGCAAAATTTCTCAGAGAAGATATATTATAGAAGGATTGGCAGGAGATGAGCAATGTAGAAAGAGGCTAGAGACAGGGGAACAAAGGAGGTAGGTGGAGAGATGAAGGAACAAGGTATCAGTATAGTGAAAACCAAGGAAAGAGGTACCACTTCTAGGAAAGAAGAGGCAATGATATCAGATGCCACAGGAATTCATAGAAAGAGGGAAAGAAATGTACTCATTGCATTTAGCAATTAGGAAGATTGCTGAGGTAGGGCAGTTTGAGAAGGGCAGTGGAGGCAGCAGATGCTAAATAATAGCCTAAGAACCCTGTAAGGAGGAAGCAGCTCTTTCCACACTGGGGCCATTAAAGACAGGAAGAATGGACCAGTAACTGCCTAAACCTAAGGGTTTGAGAAAGTTGCTTATTTGTTTTTTAAACATCATGGATATTGTAGGAGGTTTTTGATAGGGAGAATTTGAAGACTTGTAGATAGTCAATAGAAATTAAATACAAAAATATTGACTATCTTAAAAAATGCACAAGTCTTGAAAGTTGTCCAGCATATCCTCCATTGGTGTATAATACACCTATAACATTGTCAACAGACTTGAATACACTTGATGATGTACAATGATTCCAAGAAATCTCTGAAGGAATCACTTAACATATTTTTGAGAACCACATTTTAAAATATTCTTTTTACGTTATGGCAATTTCAACTCTTGTCCGTAGAGATCATATTCCTTAAATAAGATGTATCTTTGGATAGCAGTGGGTAGCAGAAGCTTCTCCACGGAGTCTGGCTGGCCTAGTCGCTGGAGGCCCATAAGTCTTCGGATTTTTAAACGACATAAATGCTTTAATGAACAAGGGTTCTCTAAAGTGAACAGAGAAAAGAAGCAAAAGTTGCAAACAATATTAGTGAGTTGATCTGTAAGAGGTGTAAAGCATCAATAATGTCTATATGGACAACATGCACACACTTCAGCAGCTGGTGATTTTGAGTACAATCCACTATGTAAAGTCCCACAGGGGCAGTGGTATAGTCTATGGCTGTACCAGATGGGCGCTGATGGGCATTCAACTAGAATCTGTTACATAAATGAATGGACTTGATGATTTATAAAAGCAAATACTAAGCCACCCACACTTGTAATCCAAGCTCCTCAGGAGGCTGAGTTTGAGGATTGCGATTCCACGTTCAAAGCCAGCTTGGGCAAGAAAGTCTGCAAGACTCTTTAACACCAATTAACTATCAAGTGCTTGCCTTGTGCTGAGTGAAAAAAGTTCATGGAAAGGTCCCAGACCTTGAAGTTCTGCTCTCAGTACTGGCAAAAAACAAAAAACAAAAAACAACAACAAAAAACCCAAAGCAGCAGGAAATGCTCATGTCTCTTTCTGTTTATTCCTTTTTTAGAATTGAATATTATGGAGATATAGTTCTTTACTTTCTCTTCTGGCAATTAGCTGATAAATAGTTATTGAGGAAATATCAATACAGCTTATGATTCCATAAATCATTCATGATTCAACCTAAAGCTTGTGTCCAATATTTAATACCTAAATATTTTATATCTATCTATCTATATACTAACAGGATTCCTATATCTGATGTTAACCTTTATTTTCAAAATTTTCCTCTATAATTATAAAACCAGCATTTATCAACTAGTGGAAGGGTAGCAGAGTCCTTGGGCTTAAACAGTGACTCTGCTCTTAGTCAGCTTGGATTGGATCAGTTTTTAACCTCTAGGTTTTAATGCTATCATCCCTAAAATGTAGATAAAATAGGATCTACTTCACAGGCTTCTTTAAAAATTAAACAAATTATTTAACATACACTATTAAAAATCTTTAGTGCTTTGTAACTGTTCAATAAATGTCAACTGTCATCAAATTCAATAATAAAAGTGGTTAAATTTCGGTAGTATTTGATATTACAAACATTCAAGTTATCTATTACCTTCTTTTAAAGTTAAAAACCACATCTCACACAAAAATGTATGGTATTACTTTTGGCAGCTCTAGGTTTTGAAATGGGGTGCAAATTGGGCCTTGAGTTTCCTAGGTAGGTTCTGTACACCTTAAGCCATGCCCCTAGCATGGGAAAAAATTATTATTAACAAAACATGCAGAGAGCCATGAGCTAGTGGCTCATGTCTGTAATCCTAGCTACTCAGGAAGCAGAGATCTGAGGATTCCTGTTCAAAGCCAGCTAGGCAGAAAAGTGAAAGTGTGACTCAAGTGGTAAAGCACAAGCATGTAAGCCGTGTGAGAGCATTAAGCCAAGTTCAAACCCCATCAACAGCACACATACAACAACAACAAAAAAATAAGTAAATAAAAAGCAAAAAAGTCCACTTTTTTTTAAATTGCATTTTTCCCTAACAAAGTCATTGCCTATGTATGTCTGGAAGAATCCTGACATCCAGTGGTTGACCTTGCTCATAGCAACCAATTGATAGACTGCAATAATGTCTAATTAGAACAAAACCAAACCAAAATCTTCTTAGCTTTATTCTTACTTGGACTGTCTTTCTAAAGTCATCAGCCTTGGGAGTTCTTTTGCAATAAAAACATTTGCAATTACCATTTAGAGGAAAAGTCTTCATTTTCTATGACAAGAGGTACATTGGCATTATAGAAAGAGCTACAGACTAGTCTTCACATTCTCATTTTTTTTTATCACAATATGAAAAACTAGGCAGAAAAGGGTAGGTATGTTGCTAGTATGGCTAGCTTGCTCCCTTTTATAGGAAAAAAAATCCTCTGTTCCTTGGAGAAACAAAAATGATACAATAATTTATTGGTTATTTTTATGAAGTTACCAATTCTCAATCACATATAGACAGTATAATCCAACAATCCTACTTCTATTCCAGGCCCAAATTTCATCCCATCTATCTGATCTCTGATCTATCTGATCTCTGAGTTTTTCTACATTTAGAATATTGTCTTATTCGTTAAGTCCTCCAAGATTCTGTTTTAGTTGGTTTACAATCCCCTCTATTATAGAACTTATTCTAGAGGAAAGCTGATTTAGTAGAAACGGATTACTTAGATATCATGTAATATGCTATGATTTTTTAAACTCTATGTGGATTTTGAAAGTTCATTTCCTCAAGCTCTAATTTTGAAAAAGAATAATCTCTTCTAGTCTATGATTTCTTCCAAGTATGTTGCAAGTATATTCCAAGTATATTCAAATCTTAACTTTCCTTAAAGCTACTGTTTTTGCTTTGTCATCGGTCTAAGGATTGAACTCAGTGCCTGTCATATTTTCAGACACTAAGATACTGTCAATGAGACTTTTATAATATGATTCACTTCCACTATTATAATTAAATTTTGACTTGGAAAATACAAAGTAAATCTTTGAGGGCAGGATTCTATCAATAAACACCTGAGGGAAAGCATATTTTTAATACTTTCCATTCATTTATTTAGTCTGCAAGAACTTACTGAATACTGTTCATTAGGCACAATGGATAAGTCTTGAAAATGCAAAAAAATAGACCCTATCAAAGTCTAAGTATTATATAATGCCAGTTACAAACTATGAGTTCTAGTTTCAATGTTGATATAGCTAATATAACAATATAACTGATTAAGCAATCAATTCAAGAGTTGGAAAACATCAAGAAAATTTCAAATTTTGCATCTTGTCAGAGAGGATATGTTAAGTATGAGTAAAAAAAACAAGATAATTTTTAATATAAGATAGCTCTAAAAAGGAATCAGAGGAAGACATTAAAATGCTCCTCCTATGTATTTTCAATCACAAAAATGGTAGGTAAAACAATTTTTAACATTTTTACCCAGTATTTGGCGGATTTCTGGCCACTCTCTCTGTATTTCCAGTACAGACTTCAGCTTAGCACACAGAGGGACGTAATCCATGTAATCTATTAGAATTCGGACAATGCTACCTACGAGGTGCTTCATCCAAGGAACTGTAATAAACTCACAGAACTGAGGAAATGGACAAAATTAAACTTAGTATTTTAATGTACTATATTCTTGAATACTCAGTGCATTATGAATAATTACTTTGTCTTTTTATCCCTCCTTGCCACGAACAACAAAGAAAATGAAATTGTTTGCTTGTTTGTGTGAACAAATAGCCCAAGGATATAATATACATAGTTCAGATGTGATTCTAGTCAATTCAACAAGGAAGGATTATGCTTTTCAGCCTATCTAGTCCCAATGTTCCATCAAGAAATTGTAAATGATTAATCGCATTCATCTTTATATTCTACATTTCATTGTCCATTTAAGAAAAAAAATAAACAGCATGTTTTTCTTGGCTAACTTTAGGCTTGTATCCCCACATCTCCATAAAGAAAAAAATCATGATTAAGAAAAACATAAAAATAGAGTTGATGTTTCTTTCTTGCAATATCCTTATAATGACTGAAAGTTGGCTGAATAATTCATAATTCTTCACAACAGGACATGCAACATACTCTAGGATAAATTATAGATCAGTTGTAAAACAAGACAAATTTAAGAATATCGAAATTATTTCTTCTTTTTCCAAATAGCATGACTTAAATTATGTAATTTTTAAAGGACTTCATAAGAATGGCAGAAAAAAATCTTTTTTCCATTCCTAGATATTGGAGAAGTGAGTTTACTTGCTTAGAGTCATGTTGCTTATGAATTACTAAATCCAGGACTTCTAATTCCTCTTTTAAAAAATTTACTTTTAAAAATACTGTTTACATTTTTAAAAGAATTATTCGTAAGGAGTTGGACAAAGGAGTCTAATTTGACACGTCAGTTTGTGAGGAATTATTTCTAACCACAATGATAAAAAAAACAACAACTACGAATCAACACAAGAGATAATTCAGAAACTTTATAACTACAGAAAAAGTACTAGCCTGCAGTTGAGCCTGGAAGAAATTTAAAAGAAGAAATAAAACATTTAAAAATTGTTAACTAAAACATTAAAGTTAAAATTTTCCTTGAGACAAGTAAGAGTTAGGATTTGGGCCTAATGTGAAGAAGGGCACAACTCACGGAGGTATCTTTTAGTATGCAAGATGTCCATCCAGGTAGTATCTCCTCCTCTATGTCTGTCCACACAAATGAATTTCCAAAGATGTTCCCGTGCATGCAGTCAAAGCACATTTCCACTTGGTAGCCATTATTCAGCAACAACCGCATCATGACCTCATCATGTAGGGCATATTGAATGACGCTAGGGAACCGAGTGTCATTCACGTGCATAAAGTAACAGTTGACATTAGCTCCGTGGGAGAGGAGCAGCCTGACAATTTCATGGTTATTGGCCCTCACTGCCACAAGTAGACAGTTGAGGGGGTCAAGGTTGGGGTCTGCACCTGCAGCCAGAAGAACTTCTGTGCAATGAATGTCATTGTTGGAGACGGCAAAGTACAGTGCGGTCTTCCTCTCATCATCATAACTCTGGGAGATGTGGTCATCAAGGAGCATGTTGACATCAAAACCATTTTCGATGAGGAGCTGTAAGCACTGTGCATTTTGTCCATCAGCTGCTGAGTGAACTGGTGACAGCCCACTCTTCTGGATTGCGTTTTTGGATGTAACTGGGATAAGATGTTTCAGAGCACTAAAGCAAACAAACAAAAACAAAATAATTGCTCCAATATCCCCATGGCATAAGGGTGATCAAGAAACTAAATAAGCCTTCATTCTCATCAGACAAGTGAGTGTAGTTTTAACTTTCCTTATCCTCTCTAGATAGCTTCATACAAAAATATTTAACTTTTGTCTATTAAGCTACGACTATCTAGTTTTTAATATGATTTATGAAGTTATTTTTAACGTTTCTTCTTTTTGCGGTTACTGATATTTGAATTCAAAGTTCTGCACTTACTAGATGGCTGCCCTACGGCTTGACTCACATTTCCAGTCCTTCTGGGGAGCTATATTGACAATTGAACTCAGGGCCTCCTGTTCTCATTTGGCCTTTTCACTCATTATTGTTGCTGTATACCTTGTGCTACTCCTCTAGTTCTACTGACAACGGGTTTGAGATCGGGAGGATCATTGTTTGAGGCCACCTGGGGCAACAATGAGGGAAGACTCATCTTAAAAAAAATATTGGACACACTGGCACACACCTGTCATCACAACTATGTGGGAAGCATAAGAAGATTATGGTCCACGCCAGCCTAGAAATAAAAAAAGAAAATCCTATCCAGAAAAATAACTAAAGCAAAAAGGGCTGTGTGTGTGTGTGTGTGTGTGTGGTTTAAGAGCACCTACTAGCAAGTACAAGGTCCTGTGCTCAAACACCAGTACTGCCAAAGGAAGTGAGAGCTCACAGGAAGTAAGCGTAAGTGACCTGGATATCATTTACTTTCCTTAATGCAAAAGCAATATGAAGTCTCCAGAGGGAACATGACTTCTCCAAGGTCACACAGATCCATGGTAAGAAGAGGGCTAATATTTCACATTACTCTTTCATTGGCTGCTGAGTTGTCTATTCTTTGCCCATGTACAGCTTATCTTGTTATAATTTGCAATTGAATTATTAACCTTAAGAAAAATCTTTACTATTCCACCAAACTTATGTGTCAGTCCAATGAAAATAGCTGACCATGGGAGATGTTTCTAAGAACATGTGATAAACAGTTGTGGATTTCGCACTTGACTAACCAACTAGACACTCATGAGAGTCAAAGGCAAGGAGAACTTGATCTCTTGTGCCTAATTCAGAGCTACGTGTGTGAATTTATGAACGCTGGGAGTAAATCCAGGTAAACTTTAACAACATGTCACTTGGCATCAATTATGCATTGCTGGCCCCTTCACCAATACAGCCATTGAAAATTATAAAGTCTAAATACTTTAAAGTTTTTGAACATATGAAATATATTTAAGTATCTAAAACCACCTTCTCCTGGTGATACTTTAACACTGTGATTCCTAATTTTTATTAGTGTGCTGATTTTAACAGATTTTGTAGTTTCAGTATCCCCTCAACCATTTGTATGAAAAAAGGAATCTAAACTTATGACAATGCATTTATCATTATATTACAATATTTTGGAACTGTTAAGATGTAATTAAGTAACACATAACATTTTACAAATTTTAATTCTTTGACCAGGTAAAACTTTTGAGACCATATAGTTTTTTATTGACCATAACTTTTTTTTAAGGCTTTACAACGTTTTAATGAATATGCCAAGATTAGATGACTCTGAACAGTTTCTTAGACGTACATTCATCATATTCTCATGTACTCATACAGCACATTTCCAAATATTCATCTTAGAACACATTTCATTTTTTATTTTTTGATAGAAACATAACAACCTATATTTAGAAGCAACAGCACCACATATATTTATAAAATTGTAACACATACTTTAAAATCCTTATTAGAAATTTTATAGCAGCAGTTGACCATAACTTTTTTATAACAGAAATACAATCTTAGACAGCTTAGGTAAAATTTTCTATTATAATTATGCCTTGTAAAAGAAAAAAAGAGTGTCATCACTATAAAAACATTGTAAATTCATTTTGTAGAAGTTCAAAATATAAAATCAAAAAGGAAGGTCAAATAACTTCCAAGCATTTAAATACAGAACCGGTGTATCTTTTATCTACTTCTCTTTGTGTTCTTGGAAAAAAATCATCACAGAGAAACATGATTCCACTCCATTAAAACTTTTGTTTTTTTCTTTTAACTTAAAGTGATCATCTCATAATCTCTTACTCACAGATAATGTCCTTCATAGGCCGCTCGATGTATAGGAAGATGCCCTGCTCTGTTGGGCACATTTCCACTCCCTCCATATTCCAGCAGGAGGGAAATGCAGTCCGGGTTACCACCTCCTGCTGCATCGAACAACACTGATGCCCCATCATCCGCCAAAGCAAACACATCACCACCTGGCAGTATAAAACACAGGCCGAGCATGACTGTACAGCATCGTTAAGAGTCCCCTTAAGAGTCATCTCGATGTATTTTCTGGATGGCATGGCAAATTGTGGAAAACATTGTTTTTGACTACTTAATAGTTACACAGTATTCTTTAATAAGTCATTATACAATATTCCTCATTTCATTAAAAAAAAGTCTTAGGCTCACAAAAACACAGGGAAAATGAACAAGCTGATTTCTAGGATAGCTATTTCCAGAAAAAGCTATAACATCAGATTTTCAAACTTAATCACAACAGTGAGTGCTCTATTTCAATTCAACAACTATTTATTGGTACCCTCTTTGTGAAAACAATCTGGGTGACCCTACAATGAATAAGAAGCCTAAAGGGGAAATGAAACAATATGTCACTAGAGAATATAAATGATATGACATTGTAAAAACATCAGTACTAGAAAATATTGCAAGGAAAGACTGCATGGACACGGCTCTGCTGCCCTTTGGGAACTGGGGCAAGCTGTTACTTCTCTGCACTTGCATCTCTGCAGTTGTAACGTGGAGCCATGAAGCTTATTTCACAGAGATGATCTGATAATTAAAAAGGTTCACCCTCTTCCCCACAGAGGATCCCTTGGGGGAATCCTGTGGTCCTAGCCTTCATTTATAGATGGGGAATCCAGATATTTAAGTAAGTAGACAAGGGCTCACAAAGAGTAGGTAGAGAAGACAATTTAGGAATTTGGTTTCTCCTTTTTCTTTCCATTTCCATTTACCACAAGCATTTCTAAATAAGATCAAGTACCAAGAAGAGGTAATGATACTATTTTTTCCTTTTTCTTTACTTTCTTTATGTCTGGCTAGAGTATAGGATATAAGATGGGTCTACTGAGGTGTCTTCCTGGAAAAACAGTTGAAGTTGATGCAGTGGAGATATTTTAAACTGTAAACGTGATTTGTAGCTGTGCTTTAGGACGAGGAAGCAAGCTGCAGTTACATAGCATGGATTCTATGATGGAAACTTGGAGAAGGATTAGACAATTTTACCAGTCCAAGGAAGATGTGAGGGGCTTGACCCAAATGGCAGATTGATGACAAGGTGAGAAGAGTGACACTATAGCAGTTTGCAACTCATTGAGTTTGGGAAAGGTGATAGTGAAATTAGAGATAATCCAACCTTTCTGCGCTGGTTGAGGGAAATTATTGATTAGGAAGTAGGAGAGGAGGCAGAATTCAGTTTAGGAGGAGATGAGTTCAAGACCCTGAAGAGCCATCTACTTAGAAACAGCACTGTCTTGAGAGCAATCAGTACCAGGCATGTAAGTCTGCAGGTAACAACACATAAATTGTGGAATTATGGAGACTGTGGAAGGAACTAGACTTGACAGTCTCATGCTTAGTCATCCTCAGAGGAAGAAGAGGACCTGAGAAGGAATGGAGAGTTCGGAAGGCAGAGCAAAGTTCAGAGGGAAAAGGAGAGCTCAGAAGGAACGGAGAAGAGGAAAGTCTCAAAGGTGGAACGAACCTCAGGAAAGTTTCATTTCTTCTCACATACCTTTGTGGATGAGATGTTCTAACACATCACAGTGACCATACTCAGCAGCAACACCCAGTGGAGTGACTCCAAATCCGTCTCTCAGGTAGACATTGCCTCCATGCTTTAGGAGCAGAGCGATGATATCTTTGCGGCCTTGCTTCGCTGCTTCATGCATTGCTGACCATCGCTTGACACAGGGTTGGTCAAGGCTGGTGTTGTACTTAATCAGAGCAGATACCATGTCATAGGAGCCCTTTTTCACAGCTTGAAAGAGATTTTTAAGTAAGGGTAGCCAACAGAAAGGTATATTAGCATGAATCCTTTACATGATATTAAACTTATTACCAAATATGAAACTAGATATTAGCTATTTCTTTGCTTTCTATGAGGGAATATTGTATTCTCTCATATTGCATTTATTAGTTTTTACTTTTTAATTATTTCTTTTTTATTGTAAAGATCCTGTTCAAAAGAGTTACAGTTACATGAGTAAGGTAATGAGTACATTTCTTGTTAAACTTGTTATCTGCTCTTTTTTCTCCCACTATCCCTTCCCTCCCCCACTCCTCACCACCCCCCAAAGTTGCAAAGTTCATTTCTGACATAGAGTCTTGTGAGTATCATTGTTGCAATGGGTCATCCTGTGTCCTTGTTTCAGTATTTTGTTATTCTCCTTCCCTTCCCCAAGTCATAAATAAACATATATACGAAATGCAGGGTGCCAGAATCAAACAACAGTGCCAAGGATAAACCAATGGAAAAAGGAAAATGAAATAAAATGAGAAGAAAGAACCAGATACAGTACATTGGCAACAACAAGGTTAATAACCAAAAAAAAAAAAGAAAGACATGTTGTTTCCATGTCTTAGAGTTCATTTCAATTAGCATCATTTCGTATGGTTATATGAACATAGCTATTGAGCTATTCTGATTCTCTGCCAGGGCTATCCTAGACATATACTAGTTATTACAAATGATGGAAACCATGGAGTCTGTATTTCTTTGGGTCTGGCTTACTTTGCATTTATTTCTTACACTCATATTTCTATTGTGGAGTATAAATATGAAAGGTTATACTTTCCTTTAAGGCTCATGGCTTAAAGGTGGGGGTAAGAGCTCCTGGAAAACATACATGGGATTTTGTATGCACTGTTTCCAAACAGTCTCTTTATCAACCAAATAGAAAATTCATCCACTCTTGGGTTGCAAATCAAATAGGGTACATGATATGGTAAGCATAGTACCAAGTATATAATAGAAACTCAATAAATTTAGTAACATAATTTTATCTCTTGTAAGACTCAGGGAATAATAAATGTTCATTGATTTTACCCTATGAAAACAGGTTTTATTGTTCTTGTTACTATTGTTATACCAAAGACTGCAGTGAATACTAAATGAACTTTTCTTTCTTATACTTCCAAGGCAGGCTAGAATTGAATCCAGCTTGAATTCTAGCTAGAATTGAAGTCAGCTATTCTTAGCAGATAAAGTATGTGAGAGCTAATAAAGTAAAATTTAAGAGCATTACCACATAAGGAGTTTCTTTACCTCCTTCATTGTCTCTAATCACACTGTCAATATTTGTTATTATTTGAAGGTTGTCTATAATAAGACATGAATACTAAAATATTTTTTCTTGCCAATTCATGCAGGGTTCAATATTCTGTTCTTTATTCATTCATTACTTGAAGACTGTGTGAAAGGCTGTGTGTAAGGCACAATGGACTATTTAGAGAAGAAGCCTGTGCTACCTTGTGTTTCAAGAGAGACTCCAAGTCTGGAGTTTTTCTGGGAAAGGCAAGAGATGTTAAACCAGAGGGAATATTCTGAAAGGAAGGATATAATACATCAAGGATTTAAGTTTGAGGAGAGGTAAATGACTCCAGATGGTGTAAGAGAGGATGAAGACGAACTTTGCTTACTCTGAAGGCGGTTTCCAGTTATTCCCTTGTTCACTTTTAAGGTACAAATGGTTGACAAATGCCTCTGTCTGAACTGTTCATCTGCTGTTAGTGGCTCTAATTGCAGTGGATTACCTCATGCTAGCTGCTATAACTTACATTCTGTAAATGTTAAACCTTCAGTTCTAATCTAATACTTTGGAACAAAGAATCTATTTTCCACAGAAGTAATAATCCAAATGGTAGGAACTCACTCTCTAAGCTAAGACATAAAACTATCCTTAACCCATAAATGATGGATAATAAAAACTCATAGGTGTTTGGTGGAATATAACTGATAAAATAAAAATAAATTTTCTTGAGTTTTATAACTATATTTAAGTTTTACATGTTACATATTTTAAATTATTTTTAAATATTATCTTTAGTTGTATAAAATATTTCAATTCAATGTATTTTTTAATTCTTTAGATTTTAAAATTTCAAAATTTATATTTTTTATTATTGTTAGGAACTTGAAAAAAGTCTTTAACTTCCCTTTCCTCGTGAGGAGGAAATGTTTCTTTCTTTCTTTTTTTTTCACAAATAGGCCTTTTATTTGTCACTATTAAAACTCTGAATTTAAATAGATTCTTGGACTGGTGGTTTGTATCCACCAGCTCGCTCGACTTTAACACCAGTCTCAGAAATACCACCTTCCCCATGAAGCTCCATGAGTTTTCCTAATTCAAACTTAGGCTTCTTCAGCATTTCACTTTTCTAACGAAGATATCATGAAGAGGATAAATAGACTGGCAAGCCTTTTCTGTGTCTTTCCCCATGCTGTCTGGAAGCAATTTATTAACTACTTCTTTCAAGTCATTTGTCTGCATTTCTCGGGCCATGATTTCCATCATTTTCTTGTGGATCTGGTGGACCTACTGATACTGAGCGGATCTGATTGTTGCTTTCTTTCTTTCTTTCTTTCTTTCTTTCTTTCTTTCTTTCTTTCTTTCTTTCTTTCTTTCTTTCTTTCTTTCTCTCTTTCTTTCTTTCTTTCATAAAACCAACACAGAACAGATGAAGCAAATAACTATCTATAGTCTTGATATCAACACGAGCTTCAATCATGGCCTGCCACTTTTTAACCATAAACCATGTTTTGTGTCTCAGTAAAATCCATGCCATGGAAGTTGGTTAGGCAGTTCTTGCCCTGAACATCCTCAGTAATTAGCTGGATTTTTCTAAATGTGATTTCATTACTGTGCAGATCAGCAAGGCTCACTTCAAACACCTGACCCTGGAGGCTCTCATATGTGATTTTGGTTCCTTGAGTCCTCATAACTAGTGTTTTCCCAATATTCCTTATATTGAACATGGCTGGTGCTTTTATATTATACCAAATCTTCTTAGAAAATGGATCAGACACTTTCTTCTTGGCTCCCTTTTTGTTGCCTTTTGTAAGGGGCTTGCTCTTGCCCACCACCTGGGTACTGGTCAGAGAGCCAAAAGGGTGGAAACGCAACTCTCGTGAGAATTTAGGAGTAAGGCAAAGTGTTTCTCCTTAATTTCTTCTTCCCTTAATGCTGCTATGCTAAAATCCTTGCTAGAACTTTTTTTTAAAAAAAAAGAATTTCAGAATTTTTTAAATGTTTAATCTGAATAATTCTGGAGTTGGATTAAAGAATTTGTATTCTTCAGCTCTTAAATTTGTTGACTTTCCATTTTTCTTTTAAGTTTGTCTCTTCTTTCTTTCTCTGTATATACCGGTTATGCTCATGTAATTTGTTTTCCAGCCCACAACTGTTTTTCTAACTCATAAAGAACATGGAGAAGGGAGATGGTTTTCCTGAAATACCTACACAAGGATTTCAAGACTGAAAGAGTGAAAAGGCTGTATGGAGTAAAGAAAATGTCTGTCTGAGGCGAAATAAACTGTGTAAATGGAAGGTCATAAAGAAACTTGGAAGTTTGTGCTAAATGATTCCCTGAGCTTCCCTCCTGTCCTGCAAGAATAAGCTTGTGTCTAGTCAACTGAGAAAAATGTGACACCAAGTCCCAGGGGGTGGGACAAGAGTCCAAGTGCAAAAAAATAAAATCCACTAATACATGTCAGATGATCACAAATCAGGTATCCACCACTCAGCAAGTAGCTGTGAAGTGTATGGCACATACAAGTGTCCGAAGCAAGAGCCACATGGCTGAAATGGAAAGTCTAACTAAAACATGATGATGGGTTAATAAAAATGTCAAAATGGAATCACACAGTAAAAGAACAATACATTATTCTCCTCTGTAAGTGAAGGACGATGAGTGACAAATTCCAAGGCAGTCCATACACTCAAGAATAAAACAGCATGGCCTATAGACTAAAAGACTCCAGGGCAAAGGTCCTGCAGAAGGCAAATAAGAAGGCCCTCTTCTCCAGATATGTGTGTGTGTGATGGAGACATATAGGAACACCACCTCTGGAATGCTTCCTTTATGGAGACTTTGGTTCCTCTCTTCAACCTTACAATTTGTCTAAAAAATAGTATTTCCAAATGTGAATTCTATTTCCATTTTGATTTAGTGATAAAATTCTTATCCTACACTAGATACTACAAGAGTTGAGAATCAACCTAACATATGGAATTTGGAAAAGCATATAAATGCTAAATATTCTGTTGTGGGCCCTAAACATTTAAGGACCATTTAGATGAAGCAGAAATAAAACTAGGGAGTCACAACTATGAGTTAATTGTCCAATTTTTAAAAATAACAGACTACAGAATTTTTAGTGGAAAATAATTCTATATATCCAAAGTCTGGAAAGTGTATCTTTTCTTGAAGAAATCAAAGGCCAGCTATGGTAACAGTAAGACGTTCATGGGTCTTATTAAAACTACTCAATGGTATATTTTGGCATAAAAAACAATACAGATCACAATAATAAAGGTAAATAAATCCATAGATGAATATTTCACTTAAGGTCTTGTCCCCAGAGGCCTTGGAGAAAGGGTGAGTGAAGCTATATTAGATCATAATGAACCTGTGCTGTTGTGACATTCTCCTCAAACAAGTTGTATTGGGGGAAGAAAACCTGCCTTGGAGTCATTCCATTCATCTGCTGGTCTTACATCCACATTTCTCAAGTCCATTCAAAAATGAAGACCCTTTGAAGTTTGTGTAGGTGCACTAGTGTTTATCTCCCAAGCTTATTTCAAATACACATACTTATTGTAGTAGTTACAACACTAATTTTCCACTTAAATATCTATTTCCCCTACATCTTTATATACAGACTAATTTGTGCAGCATCTGACTCGGGGGGTATTGTATAGATGTTGCTGAATTCATGCTTTGGAATAAGAATATTTCACTAATGTCATGTCTTTTAGGTTGTCTTTCAATAACCTTCAGGTGATTTTTAAAACATGATGTTTGTTGTGTGGACAGGAGCTATGGTGGTACTTGACTAGCTATGACTACAGCTTGTGTTGTTTTGTTCCCATTCTCTGTGATTGTAAGGTAACATTAAAGTCTTCCTTTTCCAACAATTTCCTAATGGCACTTATCATATGTGAATGGGTTTTTTTTCTAATGCTGGTTCTGGGGCTTGAATCAGGGTCTAGGTTCTCTCCTTAAGGTTTATTCTATTTTATTTATTTTTTTTTTGCTCAAAATTTAGCTCTCTACCACTAGAGTCACACCTATATTTCCAGTAAATTTGTGGCTAATTCATGATAAGACGCTCACAAACTTTCCTGCTCTGGCTGGATTCTAACCAGAATTCTCAGATCTCAGCCTCCTGGGAAGATATATATATATATATATATATATATATATATATATATATATATATATATATATATATCCCTAATTTTAATAGTAATTCTTTATGATAAGTGTCACATGCCCATTTGACACAGGAAGAAAATGAGGCCCATGATTACGTTCTCATAGGATATAAATCCACAGATACAAATTCTTCCTCGATGTCTATGACCCTCAGAGAAAGGAAGAAGTATCTCTGGTCATTCATGGTATACCCTCACACCCTGTCTTCAACAAAGAGACATGCAAATTTCTATTGTTCAACAACAGGATACTCAATTGATAGACGTTGTGTCACCACTGTGATTCCCCACATGGATGCCAAGCTATTCTGTTCCTCTGAATCCTCTAATCAGCTTCCAGTTTGTCTTGTTGTGGACCTGAGGTCTCTCTTTTTGCAATCCCCCCTGGCCCAAGCTACATATTGAACATATAACCCTCTTTTCAACTGGACTCTACCAAGAAAATATCCTTGAAATTGACAATTCTTTCCTTATTACAGTGTTTGGTTCCTTCTTGGCTAGTTGCTCTCTACAATTATATACTAAACAATGCAGCCATCTTTCACACTTGACTTCTTTTTGGGATCAAAAGATGGGATGGGAAGATGAAATGAGGGCTGGAGTGAAGCTCAGGGAATGAAAGGAATTAGGATTATATAATTTTAGCCAATACATAGTGATTCCCAGTTAATGCTGATTAAATGTTTATTGTTTGCTTCAAATCGTGGAAGTAATAGGAAAGAAGATTATTTACCAATCAGAAGAGGTGTCTCTCCTTTATCATTTTTGGTGTTGGGCCACACTCCCTTTTCTAGTAAAGTCCTTACATTTTCCACCAGACCAGCTTTGACTGCCAAAGTCAAGGGTGTTTCTCCATCACAAGTCTTGAATTCCCAGAGTGTCTGGTAAGAAGCTGAGATGTGAAAGTATTATGTTCATAAGTTAAAAACATTTACTTAAAGGATATTGCATAGATCATAATAACTCAATAAATATATATACCACCATGTTGAATAAAGTCAATTTATAATGAAGGGAAGGCTAAAAAGAGACAAAGTTAAACATTTGCCAAAAGGCAATGTGTACAGGAAACATCACTTTAGGACCCTCTGATATGTGGGGATAGGGAGAATATGGGCTTGCTAATTAAATGGACAAATAGAAAAGCAACATTTAGGTTTCAAGTTGCCTTTTTAAAAATGAGTTGACTCTCACTTCTTGCTACTTTATAAAGTAACTCTCCAATCTTTTTTATTTTTAAGTTGAATGAGAAATTGGTTTTTATGTCATATGTGACTGAGATGTATGTGAATGAATATATCATTTTGTTAGAATGTGTTAGAAAAGAAATATGATCCTTAGTGTTATTTCTGACTGTCTGTCTAGGTATATGGTTCTCTATCTGGCTTGCTGACTGGCTAATAAGAATTATGCATTTTCTCCCAAAACAGCATTAGAAAGTAATACTGAAGTTTAAAAGAACACTTTCAAAGCCTTCTGCAAAATGCAGACATGTGAAAAACTGAACAATTGTCTTAGAACATAAGATTGGGTTATCACAGCATTGGCTAATGTTTAAATCATGAAAAATTAATGGAAGGCTAAATATTTTAGGTACTACTTGTTTTAATATATAGTAACTTTTAGGAAACATAAAAGTTGAGTTTTTAAAAATGGAATTCTTTTCAAAAGAAAAAGGCTTTATAGTTTGATCAGTTAATTCATAGAACATAAAATCTTTCAGCAGTTATAGGTAACAACAAATGCAAAGGCTGAGTCCAAAATGTCATAAAATATGTTCATTTTTGTACTATTTGAGTTTAAAATATTGGCACTTCCCTTTCCAAAGCCAAACAGTCTTTATTTCTGCTTTTTATTTTTGCTTGTTATATGGCTTAAGAAGAATCACAACTTCTGCATTTCTTTTCTAGTTTTATTTATTTTTTTGTTCAAAAGGATATTTTCTTACCATCCAGAACAATCTCAAGAATTTGTTGAACAGGTTGAATGACAGCTTCATGTAATGGAAACCATCCTGCTTCATCAGCTTCATCCAGAGCATGTTTATATTTCACATACTCTTGGAGCTCAAGAATGTGACCTGAATTTAACACCTAGATTAATAACACAACTCTGCCTTTGCAAGGTGGGAGCTCCTATCCATCCCCTGTAGATAACATGCAAACTTACCTTGTCTTATGGCCTCTACAAGCTTTCTGTTTTGATCACTTAGTGGTACAAATCTAGTAGGGAAAGAAAGATAAGCCACGTTTATATTGGTGATAGTTTAAGAATTGAAAAAAAATTAACTTCTATTGAGTTTGTACATAACTGTAATAACCAAGAGCTGTAGGAAATGTTGACAGCTGGTTTTATGAACTTTGAAAATGTAAATGGATACAAGTAAGATCAGATTATCCTTCTGATACTAGATTTCTGAACACTAATGAAGATGGGAAAATACAAAATTATGGTGCTGTCTTTGAGGTCTCTCTGAGCATTGACAAAGGAGTGAACAACTGGAATCAGAGAGCTGGGCTTGGGTCAGAGACTGTGATCCTGAGATACACCTATTGCCTCTTTGGCTACTGTCTTCATCTGTAAAATAGCATTAAATATGAAGATCTCTTAGGCTTTTTTCAACTTTTAAAAACTCTTTGCTTAATAGACATGTGTTGTTTGGAAGATGTGTTGTTTGTTGCTCACTGACACTTACTTGGGACCTTCTAGCCCATGCCATATGTTACAACCTATTAATCAACTGATCCACAACTAAAATTAAGCAGAGCATTTACTTGACAAACGTCCAGTCAGTATCCTAGTAGGCCATGCATTAAACCCTCATGGCAATTCTCTGGGGTATGGGCTTGCTAAATGGAAACAAGAATTTGATAACAAACTTATTTAACACTATTAAGCAGAAACAGCTGCTACCCTTATGGAGAACTCTGAAGTTCTAAAATCTGTTGAAGATATAACTTTAAAAGACTGGAAATTTAAATATAATATGTCTAAACCTTAAAGCTCAAAAACAGTAATTTTGTAGCACTGAATCCATTTAGAAGCACTCGTAAATTCCATAATACAAGATTTTAAATACTCTAAGAGAAGGTAAACTAATTTTTATTTTATTTTGTCATAAGTATGTGTGTTATTCAAGACAGAAATTATTTTTTGCTGTTTTAGATTCTATACCTCCTATTTACATAATTCTGTAATTTTATGTATTTCTTGATCGGTTCACTCACATAAGTTAGCTGAAATATACAGATTTTTGTTTATCTGTTTCTTGGCTGGATAAACTTGCAAATTTGCTTAAATTATTCATCACCCTTCTTAACTGAGTATTAATTTAGAAACTAAGCAACTATCCAACCAAATTAAACTGGGAATTTCCCGTCTATGCAATTTCCATTTTTCATGGGGGATGCAGATTTGTGAAAAATTAGATTATTAAAGTCAATGCACAGAGGCTTTTGTAAAGTTGTTAGACTACTTGCTAAAAACAAACAGGTAAGTATTTTCCTAGAGGTAGAATCAGGAAATGGCATGTATTTTCTCTTAAAACAAAATGAATGCCTTTAAGAAATATTGTTGAAGGTCATGATTAGAATGCTACCTTTCAAGGTGCGGTGCAGGCTGACTGGCTTCAATAGATTCTTGGATACTGAGCTGAATATCATAACTTGTAAGTTGGTCTTCATCAGGATCATAATTAGTATCCATACCTAGAAATAATTTTGAAAGAGGTAACTTCTTATCATCAGCAAATGATGTCAAGTAGCAGGTTGAATTAACATAACAAATGCAAAGGGACAAACTAAAATACTTAAATACAATTAACATTTTAATCCACACATAAACAAGCTCTACTTTCTTAACTTCAAATACTGTAACTGTTAAAGCCTTCATTATCTGACTTGATTGTCTTCATTTTTCCGACTCTTTGCTTTCTTTGTGGAAATGGCTACAGTTTGGCATTTTTTTCCCCAACCTTCTGATACATGCTCCTTTGGGCCCATCAAGTTATTCAACACTTTGAGAGCTTAAAACTCTACCTAAGGGGAAGCAGGTCAGTACACTAAGAGGCAACACCCTTTTATATATCCCTTATGAAACAGAAGTGGTCAGTTAAAGAGATCTGACTAGTCTCAGAGCATCTTTTGAACATGTGAGACAGCAACCATCTTAACTTTAAATCTGTAACCTCCCCAATGGATTCCATTTATTCTCCTGCATGGTTTATTTATTCATTATAAGCCACTTCCCTGTCCCCTCTGATGATATACAGATTGTAAATTATTGTTCATTATTATGTTTCTTCCAAATATCAAGTTAGAAAAGCACTTCTCTATATTTACTATTGGACTAATTGTTTTATTTTACTTAGAAAAGTTAGTTAAGTGTAGAAATCAAAATAGTTCTAATATTGGGCTGCCTATAATGAAATTATCTTTATTTTTTTCAAGCCAAAATGAATTCTCTATGTGATATTTTACATGGTCATATATCTTTTCAAGGGGGAGAAGCCAAAGCAAATGCTCCGCGGATTTCCAAAATGTAGTTGCTGTGTCATTTACATCTTTTCATTCTTCAAGATTAGGTAAAACTTGGGCTGGGAATATGGCTTAGTGGTAGAGTGCTTGCCTAGCATGCAGGAAGCCCTGGGTTCCATTCCTCTGTACCACATAAACAGAAAAAGCTGGAAGTGGCATTGTGGCTCAAGTGGTAGAATACTAGCCTTGAGCAAAAGAAGCTCAAGGACATTGTTCAGGCTCAGAGTTCAAGCCCCACAACCAACAACAAAACAAAAGATTAGATAAAACTCTGTTTCAGCTCTAGACGAGCTGATAGGCATTGTCTGTAACTCCTGGACAGAGGATACGGGAAATCAATAGTCTGGTTAGGAATGCATTGTTCACTGTCTCTATCAGTAGCCTTGGGACTCCCGCAGAACTAAAAAGATTGGAGGGTGTATCTGAGTTGGGAGCAGAGCCTCACTGAGCATGCTCCCTCACACTGCTGGCTCAGTGCCGTCTTCTTAAAGGCCAATAAACACTTTCAAGGTTCTCTTCTCTAAATAGGCATTTCATTTCTTTTCTTGTTTATTGCTTCTTGTCTGTCTCCTAACTCTAGAAGATACCTACAGAAGAGCAGGGGATGATCCTGAAACCTCAGTTGCTAGAGGAGCACCATCCCAGGATTCATGGCCTCTGCAGGTACACTGAGTGAATGAGTGAAGCGTTAATGACTGAACACTGAAACATAATCCAAGCTCTGCTTTGCTCTTCCAACTGTCGATTTCTCACATGTGTGGAGGATTTCTTTCAGCTAAACAAATTTGATTGTGCCCTCTACGCTGGGCTTCATTTCCCTCATGTCTGTGATTTTACCTCTGCTTCCTCTTCTCTCCCCGTCACAACTATGGCCTACACTGCCTCAAGCCTGGACCTTCCTGCTGTGGAAGCCCTTGCTGAAATTCCCACATCCTCTGCAGCCTTATCTGTGACTGTCTCCTCTTGCATAATAATTTCCCAGCATTTGAACTGACAAGCATTCTTGTATTTGCTTTGCAAGTTCTTCACATACTTGTCTCATGTTCTCACTTAGACTATTGGTTTTCTGAGAGAGAAAAAAAATTTTTTTTGTAGTGCTGGTGATTGAAATCAGCACCCCACCCTGATTCACAGCCTTCCGTACTTTCCTTTTATTTTATACTATTTTTCCTCTATTCCTATCCTAACCTTTTTAGGATCCTAAGAAGAAAAAAAGCAGAGTTTTCTGGAAAACAAAATAAAAAACCTTTGGTTCATTACTAGCAAACAAGCACCGAGTCCTTCAGATAGCACACTTAGCTGACAAAGTTTAACCTATGACATTGCCTGGTGCCTCTCTTGCTGCTATTAATGTAGTAATAGGGGTTTGCATGGCTCTGGGATTAGTAATGGGATACAAAACCTTGCAGCTATTTAAATCCCCAGCTTAAATCTAACCTCTACTGAAGTTTGGGCTTTCCTTACATGAGGCATCATAGCCTCCTTTGAGAACTGAGAAGGCCTGGATTAAAAAAAAAATTCTGTTTAACTATCATCAAGATGGAAGTTATCTATATTCTTTATCAGTTTTTCCATAGTAGCAGCAGAGTAAAATGATGGGGAAACCAACCTGGAATGACTCTAATCTAATACAGACTGTTTCCAGCCTTGTCCTGACACTTTGCAGGTAGACTAAGGTAACAGACAACCTGTCCAATAGATGGAAATGGGGTAGGGGATAGCAAAATGCAACGAACGAGAAAGGCCTGATGAGAAGTATTGATTTATACTGAAAACTGAATTAAATCTAACTCAGGGGTCACAAGACAATTGGGAATTTATTTTAATAAAGCCCAACCCAGGAGTATGAGAGGCCAAATGATATTTTGGCATCCATGTATACCTATTCTCAAGTGAATAATTTCTCAATCTAGACAAATTAACCTACATTTTCCTAATAATAATTTCCCTGATAAGCAATCAATCTTCCTGTTGGTATTTTCAAAATAATTGGGTCGGTTGTATTGTACAGGTAGTCATTTCATTTAAAGCACTAATTAACTTAGGGAGGAGGAGGGATCAGATATAATGAGAGCTATGGATTCTCTCTCCAGAGGATATCTCTTCTCAAAACTTTGCTAATAGTATAATAATCATGGATCTTCTGGTTTGTTCTTTTTTTTTTTTTAACTCAGGGTCTTAGCTTTTTTGCTTATGGCTAGTGCTCTACCACTTTGAGCCATAGCACCTTCTAGTTTTCTGGTAGTTAATTGGAGATAAGAGTCTCATGGACCTTCCTGCCTGGACTGGCTTTGAATCATGATCCTTAGACCCAGCCTCCTGAGTAGCTAGGATTACGGGTGCTGGCTGAAGTTTGTATGTGTGTGTGTTCTTTGGTTTTGAAAAAAAAAAGAAAAGAAAAAAGCATTAGGGACAAGTGCCAGTGGCTCCTGCCTGTAAGTCCTAGCTACTCAGGAGGCTGAGATCTAAGGATCGAGGTTTGAAGACAGCCTGAGCAGGAAAGTCCCTGGGACTCATCTCCAATTAACTACCAAAAAAGCCAGAAGTGGAGCTGTGTTTGAAGTGGTAGACTGCTAGCCTTGAGCAAAAAACCTTAGTGACAGCTTCCTGAGTTCAAGTCCTAGGACAAGCCAGCACGTATGTACACACATACACACAAAAGAAAGCTTTAGAATTTCTAAATGCCCATTTCCAAATGTATGATTTTGGATATCAATTTCTTAAATGTTACAATATTGTATAATTGCTCTATACCACCAATTTAGATGAGTTGAATTAAACCTTAAAGTTAGAAAGTAGACAAAAGGGAAGTTTAGTGACCTTGTATATTTTAGAACATATTTAATAAGAATAAAAATGGTGATATCACTGAGAACCATAATTATGGAGTACTGGCTTTGTTTCAGGCACCTTGCATAGCATATGGCACACACTGCCTTAAATCCCCACTTTAATTTCATATTGTAGGAATAATGGATCATTGTGATAAATGGAGAGTAGAACTTCAGAAGGCTCAAAGACCTACCCTGTATGACAGAACTGGTTTGCAAAGTTGAACAGGGCAGTGTATACTTCACTTTTAAGGTCTTTCAGGAGCTGCAGCCTGTTCCCTTGAAAAGAAAACACTTTAATCTTGCTCTTAACAGCCAGCTCCTCATGACAATAACTTCCAAAAATAAAAAATACCTTCCAATGACACACACGTAAATCCTTTTCTTTGGCTCAGTGCAATATTGTTTTGTGTTGCTGAAGGTGGTCTGGGGTGTCCTAAGCTTGCCTTCATTCTGTACTTTTTATTTTAGAGTCTAAGCATCACTGTCCAAAAAAATAGGATCAACATACCAGTTGGAGCCTGACTGAAGTAGTCAGGAGGTTGGGAAGATGTTGCACAAGTTATGATGCAGGAGTGAGCACGAGTACATGACACCTCCTTGCAGCAGATTCTCTGAATTACTTCCAATCTTTCATCCATGCTAATGCCTTACTGTTAAGGTGGTGGGTAAGCTTGTGACACACTTCAGATCATCCTTTGAAAAACAGTGATCTCCCACAGCTTGTAATCCCAGTTCTGTTTCCCCAAATAAGAGCAAATACAACTGCATTCTTCATGAATTCTTTAGTTGGCTTACTCCTGATTATCTTCAAGTCTGTGACCTCTGTTACCCCATCTAACTCTCTATTATGAGGTTGGAACCATCTCCATGACTCATAACAAGATTGGCCTTGGGAGTAGGTGGAGCGGACATTGCTAGGAAGGGCTCTGTGTCCATAAACAGGGCACTTCCTTAAGCACCTGTCAGGTCAATGACACCTACTGAGCAAAGGCGAAAGGTTCTCTCTTTTAAATGGCATCATATTGACTCCACTGTAGAGCCAAGGTTTCTTGGAAGAGTTACTGAACTCTGGGTCTAGGAGGATGGCAGAAGGACCAAGGGTGCAGTTAAATTTGGCTTTCTTCACAATTTTATCCAAGTACAGGTTTCTGTGGGGAGTACAAGTTTCTGTTGTATGGAATGCAGGATCCTCGTGCACAGAGGAATCTTTCTTTTACCTTGACAATGCGGTGGGTCTCAGTGGGTCAGCTCATCCCCTGAAAATCCATGAGAGTCATCAGGATTTAGCCTATTAGAGAAATCAAGAGGAAAATTAGGACAGCTTCCTCTTTTGGTTTCATTAAGAAAACATAATTTTCTTTTCTTTTTGCGGGGGGGGGTTTGGTCGTGGGGCCTGAACTCTGGGCCTGGGCGCTGTCCCTCAGCTCTTTAGCTCAAGGCTAGCGCTCTACCACTTGAGCCATAGCACTACTTCTGGCTTTTTCTGCTTATGTGATGCTGAGAAATTGAACCCAGGGCTTCATGTATGCAAGGCAAGCACTCTACCACTGAGCCACCTTCCCAGCCCAAGAAAACATAATTTTCATTGTGTATTTTAATTATGTTCATTTTATTTTGTCTGCACTTTCACCATTTATATGTGTAATTAACATTTTGTTACTGTTTTTTGGAGACACATTTTTTTAATAGTTCCATACCATCGAGTTGCAGATAAATGGCTTCAGTTCTGACAGTGCTGGTTCCACCCCATTGTCACAGGTAATCACTGCTTACAAGTAGTAAGGTACAGGTGTTTTCTCTTAATGATATTGACTTTTTGTTGTTGATGCTGGTTATGGGGCGTGAACTCAGGGTCTGAGTCCAAGAGCTAGGGCTTTATCAGGTTTCTGGTAGAGATAAGGCTATTACAGTGAGCGCCTGGCTGGTATTGACTTTTTCTTATAGAGAAAGCCTATGAATAACAAGGAGACCTGAACTGGTACAAACAGCAACCTTTCTTCTTTTATCTTTTCTTTTTTTACCTTTGTTTTTTTGTTTTCCCTTCCTTCCTTCCTTTTTTCTTTCTTTCTTTCTTCCATTTTTTTTAACACAAAGTCTTGCTATACAACATGGACTGGCCTGAAACTCACTATGTAGCTGTGCAGGACTAACTGAGCTTGAATTTACAGTCTTCCTTCTGAGATGACAGGCTGCATCACAACTCCTGGTTCAAACAGTACCTTTCCTTTCTACTTCTGCCTTTCTATCACTTGAGCCACTCCCTCAGCCTACACAGCACTGTTTTGCTTTTTTCTTCACATCATAGAGTTTGAACTCAAGACCTGGCATGTGCTAGCCAGGCTCTCCACTACTGCACTGTTCTCCAATTGTGATCCTCCTACCAGTGCCTTCCCTGTAGCTGGGACAAAGGTGTGAGTCACAGTGCCCAGTGCCTAAAGAGGAGTATCTTTCTTTTTTTTTTGTCGGTCATGGGGCTTGAACTCTGGGCCTGAGCGCTGTTCCTCAGCTCTTCAGCTCAAGGCTAGCACTCTACCACTTGAGCCACAGCGCCACTTCCAGTTTTCTGATGGTTTATTGGAGATAGGAGTCTCATGGTCTTTCCTGCCCGAGCTGGCTTTGAACCGCGGTCCTCAGATCTCAGCCTCCTGAGTGGCAAGGATTACAGGCGTGAGCCACCAGCACCTGGCTAAGAGTATCTTTCTTAACAGGACAATATGCTCTTCTGGTACATTAAACATACACACACATATATATACACATACACACACATGCACAAACATACCCACACATTCCAGAAAACAAATGTCATGTTTGTGTTTTTTTAAGATAATAGAACCTGGTGATTCTGCAGAAAACAGATGAAAAGACAAACTGGACCATTTACCTGACGTGTGAGAGGATTTAGTGAGCACTGGAATGAATAATTGAACAGTCACTGCTCTTAAATTGACCCAATGAATAGATTAAGCTTGGGCTTTCTCTTTAGGTCATGCATATGCTTTTGTGAAACTCACTTCCAGTTTTGGGGTCACATATTAATGCCTAATTTCTATTTAAATACCCTTATGATACACCTGTATTGCTAGTTATGCTTATCTCTAGTTTCATATTATAATAGTGCAAATATTTAAATATTTACTCTCTACTCTTGACTTGTAGGTCAAATGCAATTATGGCTTAAATGTAGAAAGATGCATATTAGCTTTTGCAAGCAACACAAAAGTATAGAAAAGGCTTTGTTTCTGAGCACATGGATTTCCATGAAAATGTAACCATAGAAAAGTTAAGTGCAAGAATGACACAAGAAAAAGCTATAATACAACTTAATATAACTTACAAAAACAAACTCTATCCTTTATAAGTTTACATCTAGGATATATGTTATAAAAATGACCAGAAATGTAGGGAGGACTTATATGTCCTTAGAAACAACCTAAGGGTCCAATGATAGGGAATGTGGCTAAATAGTGTATGCACAGTCAATAGAATACAGTACCACAAAGTTCACATGAAGACTCTTTAATGCTGGGAATAAAATGCCATATTTAAGAACTATAATCATTTAGTCAGGTACTACCAGCCACTTTTAAGAAATTAAAATAGATTCTTTTCAACTGTTTTATGTAAAGGGAACTAAGAAAAACTATTTAAAGCATATAACTCAATAGTTTGATATATGTATACATTGTGGAATATTTACCATTATCAATCTAATTTTAATACCCATCTTATCATCTACTTACCATTTTATAACATGAATGTATGGGAATTCCTCAAAAAAATTAAAAATAGAAGTACCTATCATCCAGCAATCTTATGCTTATACTTTCAGATCAGTGGAAATATTACTCACAAGAGTCAAGATACTGAATCAGTGTCAATATCCATTGGGAGTTGAATGGATAAAAAAAAGTCATATATTTACAATGAACTATTATACAGCCATTAAAAACTGAAGGAAAGGCTGGCTACAGACTAAAGGGAGATACAGGATTCTTCCC